GCCCGGGGTTGTGGGGGGGGGGGGGAGGACAAGGATTTTGTTCATACATCTGTATGTGGCCCAAAACACCCAGAGATTAGGCCCCGATTCAGGAAAGCACGTGCTTAGCTTTATGAGGCACGTTGACATCACTGGGCCAAAAGCAAATGTTTCAAGTTAAGCGTGCACATATGTGCTTTCCTGAATCGGGTCCAAACACCAACAGTGCTCAGTCACGTACTCCTGGGGGAATTCTGTACCACTGGGCGTGCACAGAATTCATGGCTCCTGCAGATTCCTTGGCTTCCCCGCAGCAAAATTACGTGGACAGTGACACAAAGATAAGCCACGAGAGCAGTCATGCAACCCTCCCCACCACAGCCGATGTGTCATTTCGGACTCCCAGAGCATCCGTTAACGGGGTAAATCACCACAGGGGGGTAGGGCAGAGGACATCTTGGCTGATAGCTTGGGCTCAGCTCCTCAACCCGGCTGGGCTGAGGAGAAGGGGAATTTCTCTTCCTCCATGCTCGATAAACAACAGAGCCTTGCGCAGCAGGGTATTCAGCAGTTTACTGTTGCAAAAGCTCTAACGTCTGGATTTCCCTTTTACCACCCCCCAGTGCTTCATTGAGAGTGTGCAAAACACAAAACATCGCACTCCAAACAACGCACCTCTTAATGAGACAGACGATTCCATAGATTCAAGGGGGTTTGTTTCTTTGCAGAGGAAAAAAAGAATTAAAAGAAAAAAAAACCCACACAACACTGCCATTGAGTGCTGACCTGACACCTCTGGGGGGTGGTTTGTCTACCCCATACCACAACGAGATGCCGCTCCCTTCCCTGCATACACCACGCAAGTGGCAAAGATTAGGGGTGATTATACCATCTCATAAAACTGGAAGGGACCTTGCAAGATCATTGAGTCCAGTCCTCTGCCCTCACAGCAGGACCAAGCACCATCCCTGACAGATTTGCCCCAAATCCCTACCAACCCTGGGTTTAGCAGGCCAATGCTCAAACCACTGAGCTACCCCTCCCCCCACAGGTCATGGTACCGTGCCACAAGTGTGCCGATTTGAAATGGCGCCTGCTGAATCGCTGGGGTCATGTCCTGTCGCTCTCAGACTGGGCCCTCCTCTCCCTGCCAAGGGTCCCCAGCCTGCCCAAGAGGAGCACCCCAGCATCCTGACAGGCACCCGGTCTGGTGCATGCCGCAAGCAAAGCCCTCCCTGCCGAGCGCTCAGGTTTTCCATAGGCGCAGCACTCTCATCTCTGAACTAGGACCCTTCCCCGGGGAGCCAGAATCAAACACTAGGCCACTAAGAGTTCCCCCGGGGGTGCACTATACAACAGCCAGCTACAGCTCACTGCTCCTTGGGCTAGACAGACAGTCAGAAGCCACAGGCAAGATGGTGCGTTTGGCGGTAGACACTTTTCCTCTAGAGACAGGAGTGACTTTCCTGCCAGCTCACTGAGGGCTTTTCTCCACGGCCTTCACAAATCTCATCTGAAGGGAAGAATCTCTCATCTATCTGCAAGCACGGGGGGGGGGGTAGGAGCAAAAGGCAGTTTGTGGTCACAAAATGTGCCAGTGTAGACAAGATCTTAGTAGCGCACTGAGTATGAGAAGCCTCTAGCTGTTACTTCAATACAAACACTAAAAGCAGCGCTCTCCAACTAGACTGTTATGCAGAAAGTGGGGTGTAATTAGGTGTGATCCTATGATTTTTTTAACCATTGTTCATTTTCCAAACAAAAACACCCTTTTTCCCCCCCATTCACACACAGAGAAAGATTAGATTTTTATCGGTAAGTGTCAATAAACACGGATTTCACTGTACACCCCCAAGCCAACAAAAAATATTTCCAGTGATCATCAACATTTATTTACAGCTAGGCAAAATAAGAAAACTGCGGCTTGAGAGCTTATTGGGTTTCGATGTGAGGATATTTATTCTGTCAGCAACAGAGGTCAAAATATTCCATGTGTACATTACCAGTTATAAATCTAACCTTTCGAATCTCAGTGTGTCCTGTCAGTCGTAATGACTGTCAGACCCCCGCCCCCAGTTCCCACAATGGTGAACTTTTGAAGTCAATCAAGATCAGAAAAATGCTTTAAAATAATCAATATTATCAGTCAACATTTTAACCAAATGTTGCCAAGTTGCCTTCCCTCTATACATCCATCTCCTCGGAGAGAAGCCGTAACATCACTTAACCTGGAGTCCCTGTTAGACACAAGGGCGAGTTCTTAGGCAGCGTGTTCTGGGAAAGCTGTCTAACCGCTCTGCAGAAAGGGCCTTTATTACCCAGTTTAATTTTTAATCTTCCCGTTGCTCTTGAATGTAATGAGGCCTGTCGCACTGAAATCATGTAAGCCCGGGGGGCCCGTAAGTACCACTCGCTTCCAGATGTGCTGGAACCCATCAAAGGAGTCCCATCCTCGGGGGTGGAAACAAAACATGCCCAAGAGCTTAAAACGTTCGCCTACGCCGCTAACTTGGAACACCGCGGCAATTACCTGTTTGAAAGGGCCTTTGCCTTTGGCTGGTCTGGAACCCCCCAGCCCGTCTCCTCCCGCCCGAGAGGCCAAGCCGAGCACTCAAGGATTAAAGAGGAACCACAAGTAGATAGATCAGTTAACTAGGCCCCTGTGAGGGAAAATAGAGGGGCAGATGGGAACAAGGCCTTACTATTAGTATTTCTTTGCTTTTGCACAGGCAACTAGATCCATTTCCATAAATCAAGTCTAAGCAGAGATCCTGGACATCTGTTTAGGAACCTTTTCCTGGCTCTGTACACAAGTGGTGTGACTGGCCTTCGCGTGTATCTATTTTGAAGAGTTTGTTTGTATGTGGATTTGTTTGTACAAAACGAAGTCCTACTTCCCGATTACCTACAGATACCAAATATTGCATAAACCATGCTGCCACTTAATGCAGCTGAGTGAACTACTTTTTGCACCGGACTATGCCAGGTGAAAGGTTTAAATCATTTTTATTTTTCATCAGGGAAAAAAAAGCCATGACGATGATGATTAGAGTTCATAAAAAAATATTTGCTAACCAAATTAAAATCGACTCGCCTATACAACTGTCATTTTAGGGCAAAGAACATCTTTACAGTTACAAATCACAAACTCATTCAAATTAGTTACGGAAAGAGTAATGGAAGCTTTACTGAGTTTCTGATTCAAATGTCCTCTGTGTGGTAATTATTCAATACAATGAATCATATTTGAAGTTGAAATCCTACAGATTTAAACCCTTTTTTTTACTTGCTTTTTGCAAGCACATGAATAAAAAATTCTATTGCATATATTTAATTTCTTGAACTTTCCTAAAAGTGTAATCCACACAAAATGACTTTGTGGTTAGGCTGTGAGAGTGATAAAATCACAGACAGTCCCCGGGGTACTCCGGTGTGTCTTGCCACTCAGCTGGGCTGGCCTGTGTGCGAAATGGCCCTTACACAAGGAATTACAGTGATAATTCCGTCTTGTGTTTCAAAAACCAGAAGCTTCTATAAGCAAGATGGATGTGTTCTTTAGGGCTAACCCAGGCTAAGCACTGGGGATCTCTTGCTTATGCCAGGAACACCATGTCCTCTAGATTCCAAGTAGCATACAAATGCAGTTCCTCCTTACTAGGTTTTTTCCTCGGTTTCCCCCTTCTGCTTTGAGCTGCAAACTCAGCAGGTGGGCGGAATTCACTGAGACTCATCGGGAGTGGGGTCGGGGGGAGGAAGAAACGGCAGTGAGTAACTAAGTCTTTCGTCCTCCACTATTCCCCTCTAGACCGTCTGCTGCCCATGGGCCTCTGCTGGTGGCCAGCACATAAGGCCCCTTGCTGGCGGGCAGCACATTACACTAGTCAGCAGCTCTCTCCTGTCTAGCGATTTACACAGCCACAGAGGCCGACACACCGGCTGAGAGGTTACTTTACAGCAGGGCTCTCCAACCTTTTTAAGCACGAGATCACTTTTTGATTTTAAGTGCAATTCAAGATCTACCTCAAATATAAATCCCCTGGCCCCGCCTCCTTCCCTCCCCTTCCCCGAGGCCCCGCCCCTGCTCACTCCATCCCCCTTCTCTTGCCCATCCTCGCTCACTGTCACCAGGCTGGGGCAGAGGGTTGGGGGCAGGTTCTGGTCTTGGGTTAAGGGATTTAGAGAGGTGAGGGGCACTGAGCTGAGCCTGGGCCAGGCAGTTGGGGTGCAGGAGGGGGTTCTAGGTGGAGGGCCTGGGGGGGGCGTTTGGATGCAGGGACGCTCTGGGTAGGGTAGGGGATTGGGGCGCAGGAGGGGGTTCTAGGTGGAGGGCCTGGGGGGGGCGTTTGGATGCAGGGACGCTCTGGGTAGGG